CACATTCATCCCCAGTCACACTCATCCACACACACACATGCTCAGTCGCACTGTCACATGCTCACATAGCACACACATGGCTCACATACACACATCACCACGGTCACACTCATCCACACACATATGCTCAGTCACACTGTCACATGCTCGCACAGCACACACATGACTGGCATGTACATCCACACATGTTCACATGTGCTCACTCACACAAATATAGGCACACATGCATCAGTCTCACACCAACCCACACGTTTGCACCCCCACAGCACACTCCTGGGCCGCCCTCCACTTTTTGGTGCCTTAAGCACACGGCCCCGCCCCACACGCCTTCCCACCACCCCCATGGTCTCTCCCAGCTACCCTCCCCCCTTGGCAGCCTTTCCGAATGGCCCAGACCTCGCACCCCACAGCCAACCGCCCGTCCATCCCTTCACTCCCACACCTGCCTGGCATGCCCAGCGTGCAAGTGCATTCCTGTGGAACCAGCGCCTGCTGGCTCAGCTGAGTCATGTCTCTTCCGGAGTGAGTTCTGGAAACTTCTTTCTCTCACCTCTCCGGTTCTGGCATTCTCCCAGCTCCCCACCACGCCATGATCATCCTGTGGCCTGGCACCTGCCAAGGTGTGGTGCCCGCAGGCCCTGCTGGCCTGGCCTCCCCTGGATTTGAGTTTGAGTGGGGCTGAGCTGAAGAGCTTTGTCAGAAGGCGTTCCCTCAGAAGCCCTCTCACCTGCATGCCTCCCTACAACCTCCCCCTAACCCTAGGCCTGCTGCCTGCCACATCACTCTTTGGGGGGCCACGCCAGGCTCTGTGGGGCTGGGTGAGCAGGGGTGAAGGTGGGGGCAGACCCAGCAACACCTGTGTGCGCTACAGGCCACGCCTCACCCGCTGTCTGGCCCGGAGGCTCCTTAGCCACGTGCATCCACGCAGTAGCCAGAGGACAGCGCCCCATCAGGGTCGTTACGTGGCGGACCCAGGGGTCGCAAGGCTGCTCCACCAAAGGCGCCTCCCTCCGCTCTAATGGCCACACCTGGGGCCCCTGCAGGGTTGGGCCGTGGGCTGGCAGCTGCCTCTTCCCAGCCCCCCGTTCTGAGCGAGGCCCTGCAGTGCTCTTCCGAGGGCTGCATGCACCTGTGCCCTGTCCTGGGGTCACATCGTTCCCAGAAGGAAGCTGGCAGCACCTTCCCACAGGTTTGCCTCCCATGCTCCGGGTGTCTCCTCAGTGACGTTGAGACACACCCCCTCACTGAAAGGAGAAATCATTTTGCAGAGGTGGCCACCATCGCCCCCAGGATGGTCAAAGACAGTCCCCACTGCCCAAGGGAGGGTGCCGGGAAGAGGGGACACTATCTAACACTTCACTCGCAGCCCTCACCCAAAAATTAGCTAAGGAATGTTCCTGGGCTCCAGTGGGGTGGCTGGGAGCGTGAGAGGGGGTGTCAGTGCCAAGTCTCCAAAACCCCTCTTCCCAAAGGCCCCTCACACAGCAGGCTGGCAGGGTACCCCTTCCTCTTCCCACCTCCCCTCCTGCGCCCAGGGCTGGGGCTTCCAGCACAGGCAGCCGTGGGAACCCAGGGGGGCAGCCTTTGGAATAGACTTCCCCAGGAATGTGAGGATTTGGCCAACCTTTGCCCGGAGTCTTGCCCTTTCCTCTTTGGGGGTGTTGCCCAGGGATGGTGACGTCCTCTAGTGAGGGCCCTGGAGCTTGATGTTCACACTGAGTGGAACCTCACACGGAGCTGGACTCATTTCTCAGAGTCCAAGACTCTGATCCTTGGGGACCCTGCCTGTCACCCCCAGCCTGCTTCCCAGGGGATCAGACCCCCCACCGCTGCCCCCAACCCCCCACCGGTGAGGCAGGAAACAGGGCAGCCACCTGGTCCCCTGCTGCTCACTCCACCTCCAGGAGAAAAGCTCCCAGAATGGGGTGGGACTCCTGGGAATCTTAGGCTGTTCCCCTCACCCCCCACAGCACTTTGTCCCCAGCCCGGTCTCCTGGGCGCTGCGCCCGCTCACAGCTCCCCTCCCCTCTCCTCCCCTCTCCCTTTCTCTCAGCAGCAGGCACTCAGCCCTGCCTTCGGAAGAAGAATTGTCCGGGCTGGCTCAGAACCGACAGAGCTCCAAGCTTCCCGCCCAGCGGCCCACCAAGCTGCTGAAGAACTGCTTTCTCCCCCTAAGAGAATATTTCAAGTATTTTTCAACAGAACTCACTTCCTCTTCATGAATGAGTCACTATACTGTGAAAAGTAAAAAAGACTTCCTAGAACAAACACAGCTCTCCTGACACCGTCTTCCTCTCCTCTTCTCCTTTCCTTTGCTTGTCTCTGGCTTCTTGCGTCACTGCAGGCCCACACTCCGCAGGGTTCTGGAGACCCAGGGTCTCTCTCCCATTACCCCGGCTCAGGGACAGGGCGAGGCCCCCGCCGCTGTGCACAGATCACACGTGGTGGGGCGCGTTGCACTTCAGAAAGCATTTCTGTGTTCTAGTTGAGAAGCTAAAATATAGGTATTGGTCCCTGTCTAGTATAGGCACAGCATCTGTCATCCTGCAGGGCATGGGGTGGAGGCGGGAAATGGGCGGGAGGCGTCTGAGAAGCGCCTGTGCTGGGTCCCGTGGGATGCACTTATTGGCGGAGGCTTCCCCACGAGACTGAGACCGCTGTTTGCTTTCTTGTTTTTTTTTTTTTTTTTCTTTCTTTTTTTGTTTTCAGATGGAGTCTCGCTCTGCCACCCAGGCTGGAGTGCAGTGGTGTAATCTCGGCTCCCTGCAACCTCCGCCTACCAGGTTCAAGCGATTCTCCTGCCTCAGCCTCCTGACTAGCTGGGATTACAGGTGTGTGCCACCACGCCCAGCTAATCTTTGTATTTTCAGTAGAGATGGGGTTTCACCGTGTTGGCCAGGCTGGTCTTGAACTCGTGATCTCAAGTGATCCACTTGTGTCAGCCTCCCAAAGTGCTGGGATTACAGGCATGAGCCACCATGCCCGGCCACCGTTTGCTTTCATAGGGAAAACCATGCACCCTGATCATAGCTGCATTACACAACCTGGAAAGTACAGGACCTCAGCCTTAGAGGGCAAAGGAGGGACCTGCTGGCGACGCTGCAGAGACCAAGAACAGGTCCACACACAAAGGGTGTCACCTGGGCCGTACTCCGGGTAGTGTTGCTTGCAGAAGGCAGGGCTCTTCCTGGCCCGCTGCAGTTTGAGTTTGAGTGAGGATCAGCCCACCAGAAAGCTCTGCCTCAGGCTGGGCTCAAATCACATGAAATGAATCCTGCAGGGGACCTCTGGGGTCTACACTGGGACTATTAGTGGTACGTAAAATGCTTGTGGAAGAAAGGTTAAAATTGGACCTTTTGAAGATTAAAAATATACGTCTTGAAGTACAGTCGACATCTTCACTTGAACTGACATGGCTGGAACCTGTTTGGACAGTCCTGGACTCTGACAACACGGGTCTCACATCCAGGGATGAATGCAGCGAGCTCCGTAATGACCCGGGGTTCCTGAGGCCACAGAAAACAGGGGAGCGCAGGTGAGGCCATCCAAGGGCAAATGAGCCCTCTGGGGAGGCTGTGCTCAAGCTGTCACTCAAAGGGGGCTGAGGCCATCATGAGCCCACAGGCCAGGCCAGTGGTGAGAGCTCTGAGCAGGGCGGGCTGGGCCCAGGCTGCCTCCACACAGGGAACCAGTGTCCCGGGCCCAACACAACTCATGCTCACTTTCCGTTGTGCTGCTTTAAAGCAAGGCACAGGGCGCCGAGGGGCTTTCTGCCCCTCAAAATGCACTTTGCTTCGTTTGTTCTCTCCCCAACCCTCAGAACTGTCCACACCAGCTTGAGATGCTCTATGTATTTTATTTCAAGGCTTTATTTTTTGAGATAAGGTCTAGCTCGTCTCCCAGGCTGGACTGCAGTGGCACAACCACAGGTACTGCAGCCTGCAACTCCTGAGCTCCAGTGGTCCTCCAGCCTCAGCCTCTGGAGTAGCTGGGACCACAGGTGCATGCCACCATGCCTGGCTCATTTTTTAAAATTTATAGAGATGGGGTCTTGCTCTGTTGCCCAGGCTGGTCTCAAAATCCTGGGCTCAAGAGATCCTCCCACCTTGGCCTCCCTAAGTGTTGGGATTACAGGTGTGAGCCGCTGTGCCCAGCCCTCTAAGTATTTTAGTTTTACACATAGGACCGGCCTCATGGTCCCGTGCTCAGCTGAACAGCGACCCCCCCAAAAGATGCCCAGGTCCCCATTCCCGGATCCTGTGAATGCTATATGGCAAAGGAATAACTTTGCTGGCTGGATTAAATTGGGGTGGGAGTCCTCCCTAGGTCACCCAGGTGGGTTCTACCCCAAAGGGACTCTGAAGAGAGGGGCAAAGTGAGGCTCGACCACACAGAGGAGCCACGTGGCCACCGAGGGAGAGGCAGGAGTGCCACAGACACAAGGCAGGGACGCCCAAGGCCTTTGGGAGCTAGGAGAGGCGCAGGGGACACTCCCCTAGCACCTCCACCGGGCAGACCTCGGGCTGCTGCCCTCCAGGGCCCAGAGAGGCTTTGTGTTGTTTTTGAGCCAGCAAGCGTGTGGTCATTAGTTCCAGAGCAGACAGGAAACAAACCTACAGTCGTGCACCACATAACGTTGCCAACACACGATGCGATGGTGCTCCCATAAGGTCACAATTCGGTATTTTTACTGCACCTGTTCTATGTTTAGATGGGTTTAGATACACAAATATCAGTGAGTCGCAGCTGCCTACGCTATTCAGTGCAGTCACCTGCTGCACAGGCTTGTGGTCCAGGAGCAGCAGGCATGACACGCGGCCCCAGCGTAGTGGGCTGTGCCACCAGGCTCGGTCGGTGTGCATGCATTCCATGATGTTCACACAAGGACAGAATCACCCGAGGACGCATTTCTCAGAAGGAACGAATCCTTTTCGTTAAACAACATATGCTGCATCCCCTAAGAGCAAAGATCTTCCTTGGCCAGGAATTGAGCTCCCAGCATCAGCCAAGGCCTGTGCTGTCAAACGCGGGTTGTTGTGCTAGACCCCAAAGGGACCGGGGCCTGGAGGCGCACCGCGGCAGAGATCAGAAGACTCCCACACCCTCCAAACGGCAGAGCAGGGTGCCCTGGGACCAGGGGCATAGGGCAGCCACTTCCTGCTTCTATGACTTACACCCAGAGAGTCTTGAACCCCAGGCTGCACAAATACAATTCCTGCTTGGCTCCCAGTGCGCCCTGGACACTGCCAAAGGGCCTTCTCTCCACACTCCTGGAACAAAAGCGCATCCTGCCTGCCCCAGAAACAGTCACGGGTGGCGGGACACTAAAACCTTCCTTTGACTACGGGAGACTTCCCAAGGGGTTTTCTGTTTCTTCATCTGAAACCCTCTGCGTGTGGTAACCATGTGCCAGTGTGCTGCGTGATCACTTACAACAACCCACATTCGTGTATATGTCACGGACCGGGACGCAGGCCCCAGGAGGAAGGAACCTGCTGACCTGCTGTGGTCACACAGCTCGGAGCAGAAGAGGGTGTGAACCAGCCGCCGCTTACCGTTGTCTCTGAGGTTCCTGGGCCGCCCCGGCCTCCCTCAGTGTCCCCTTCTGACCCAGCTGCATTCCTGGCCCCTGCCTGGCTGTGCCCTCCACGCCTCGTCCCCTCTCTCGGGAGGACCTGCCTGCAGCACTTGGCTTGCTGGAGTCTCTGGCGTCTGCCCGGGAAGCAGAGCCCGGACCTGCCCCCTCGGCCCCTCTCCCACCGCCCCCGGGCGGCACTGGGGGCGCCGCCGCAGATGAGTGGCCCCGCTCTTGGGAGACCTTAATTTGGGAGGCTCTGCTCCCCCAGGACCCAGTCCCCATCCTCCCACAATCCCCTCGCGGTATCCAGGGGCCGTCCCCCTCCCCGCAGCGTGGGGGGGATTCAGGTGAGCCCGGGGGTGGAGCGCTCCGCCAATGGTGGCGGCGTGGCCCGGGACCACAGCCGCAGGCGCAGAGGCGCGCGGAGCCCCGCCCGTCAATTAGGGAGGGCCTCCGGAAGGAGGTGGCGCGGCCCACAGCCCGATCGGCGCACCTGCGCCCTCCTCACCTGCCGCGCGACGCGGTCCCCTCCCTGCAGCCACTTGCCCCGGAGAGAGGAATCTCGGTCCCCAGCATCGCGACCCCTCCAGCCTCGCGGGTCCAAGTCGGTGCCCCTGAGCGTGTCCCGGGAAGCGCACTTCCACGCTGGCGCTGAAAGAGGTTTTCTGGCTCAAGGGACGGGACGCGCCCTAGACAGTCCCGCTCAGACGGGGTTGCGCGCCGGACCTCACTGGTGTGCGGACGCCCTGCGCGCCGCGTGCCCTGTTCAACTCTTCCCGCCGGAGGGCAGGCGCCCCCTGACCAACCATCTCTCATTTAGACCCTCCAACCCCCATCTCTCAGCCTGGCCGGGAAGGGGGAAGTCGCCGGGCTTCAGTGCTTCCTGCTCGCCCGCCCCCGCCGCCCCCGGCGCCCCCGCCGAGCCCCGCCGCCCATCTCTTCCGCCTTCTTGTTTTGTGCCTGGCCTCTCTGCACTGCAAAAAACTAGCTTTCCGCGGGGAGAGGTTTCCGTATTTTTTAAGCTTTTGTCCACGGCGTTCTCTACCTCTTGGCTGAAGGAATGACAGCCTGCGGGGTGCCGTCTGGGGCCCCAGCCTCCCGGCGCCTCTGGCCTCCTCCGAGCCCCTGAGGCGGTGGGGGTCGGAGCAGACCAGAGACTGGGGCGCCGGGAGGAGGGTGCCCTGCTGCCCTGTCCAGCAGCCTCAGCCAGGCCCTTCCGGGGGCGCTTCTGCAGAAAGGGGGTCACGTCCCCTCTGGGCCCCACCTTACCCCAACCGAGACCCCTAAGCCAGGGAGGGGCCCCACCAGAAATCACGGCCTCTTTGGGTCACCTGGCTTGTGGGGATCAGGGAGAGAGAGCGTGGGCTGGGGGCCGTTGGGGGCGGGGAGCAGGGGCCCTGGGTCCAACCCTCGGTTGCGTGGCGCGGCCTTTCCCAGACCCGCTGCCCCAGACTCCGAGCCAGACGCCACTGCCAAGGCTGACGAGCTCAGAGCCGGAGCCGCAGGCTGCCTTGGTTTCCCGGCGGCGGCTCCTCAGTGCCAGTGTTAGGCAAACAGGCTGCGCCAGCGCCCTCCGTTCCTCTAGACCGCTGAGGGTGCAAGGCCAGGTGGGGGTGGGCTGGGGCTGGCCCAGAGAGTAGAGCCCGCCTACCTTCCCTCCCTCCTTCCATTCATGCATTCATTCATTCAATCATTCGTTC